GCAGGGCAGCCCTCGGGTGTTGGGTGGGACGAAGAAAGGCCCTATCGTTGAGACTCAAATAAAAGTGCGTTTTTGAAGGGTGTAAGAGCTGTACTGCAAAAGGGTCTGCTGTCAACGCGTGGATTAAGGTCGTTGCTAGGCTGAATGCAGCGAGCAGCGTTAGGCTAGTGAGTAACAGGAGCAGGCTTACGTTATACGCTTGTGCAAGGCACTTTAGAATGCCAGAAAACAAACAGCTAGATTTAGTACCAGATTTTCACATGCATAAGAGTATTATTTTAGTCTGTGATAACAAAAAAGAAAAGTTCAAGAGATCACAGTGTAGTTTCTTGCATCTTTTGAAGCATCTTGTTCTAGCTACCATTGGCCAGGGTGCGCTAGGCTGTATGGAATATTTGGTGTGTCCATGCCCAGGTTTCAACTGGCTGAATGTTGCAGAGACAATTCCCTATGGGGTAACAGTTGTAGGTGGAAAAAAATGTCACAAACACCTGAATTGGAAATATGATGAAAAATATGTATTTTTGGCTTCACCTAAAGTTTTTTTCCACTTTGTTTCAAATAGACCAAATATTTAGAAGATTTTAGGGAAAATATGTTGCTAAGGGTTAAGCGTGTTACCACTTATGTATAAACCAGGGAGAAGCACAACTGCTGCAGCAGGGCATCTCCTCAGCTGCGTACTCATGAGGATGGAAAAACATGTCTGCTTTGGTAGCATTAGTTTACTAGTAATCATGCAGTGTGTTTTTTCCATCTTTTATGAGACTCTTGTCCATAGTTATGGACAGCACATTGTATTGCAGAAATCATTAGCTTTGGCCCATAAATTTTTATATTTCTATGCTATTATGTTATTGTCTTATCAGATGTTAAAAATAAGTAAATAAATAAAAAAAAACTAGTCCTTTTTCCCCCTTAAAAATTTTGTGTGTACTATCTCTATATATACCCTATTTATATGTGAGGATTGTAATGGATCCTGAAGCTCTTTCAGTCAAGAGGTTATTGTTATCAACCATTCATAGCTTTCTTTGTCTAAGTTTGCAGTTAGTTTCATCATTAATTACTTAATCATGATTGTTTTCAAAATATGTTTGCTTCATCCTTTCAGCTTTTTGTGCTATGGACTGTACAAATGTGGGTTTGTTGTGGTTTGGGGTTTTTTTTTCTGAATTGTAACCAAGACATTTTTTTAAGGTTACTTTTTACTCATGATTTGATATTTCTGTGATAATAAAATGTCTTTCACTTAAGACACAAAAATTAAGACAACAAAATTCATGAAGGCTATTAAGCATTATTAGTTATTAAGCAGTATTTTAGGGACTTGAAGGGCTACAGATGTGTACAAAGAGCACATTCAAAGAATACGTTGGACTCGTAATTCACTAGAGTTCATAATAAAACACCTCGTGCACTTACTTGTTCCTGTGCTAAAAATGCGTGCATATTTAAGTGTCCTTACTTGTAGAGGCCAACAGTGCTTTTGGGGGTTGGTTTGCCAGATGTCTTGTTTCTATTCAGATACAAGGCAGTGTGTATATCTTCATTGGTTTTTTTTAGTTAAAACTTAAATGTTAACGTATTAAAAGTTTTCTTCATTATGTCGTCTGGGAAACACTGCAGAAATTGCTTTAAACTAAGACCACCTTGTTATCACTTTCAGGATTTTCATTGACTTGTTAGGCCCTTTACCTTACACTTAGTTAGGATAGCATGACTTATTGTTTGTTCTGATATACTTTGTTTTATCTGAATAACATGGCTTCCCTTCATTTTTTAAAAGACATTTAAATTGTGTTTCTTCTTAGTCTCCTACTATTTAGTGTTCCTACTATGCTATTGGGAAGCCTGTCTTGCATCTGAGGCGAACTCATTTTGAAGTAGCTAGCTTCCTTCAGTACATACTTTCAAGTTCTCTTTAGAAAGTTTTTTCCTTGAAATTTGGCAGATAACAATGAGCACACCAAATAAAGCGCTAGAACTACAGCTGCAAATGAAGCAAAATGCTGAAGAGCTGCAGGATTTTATGAGAGAGTTGGAGAGCTGGGAAAAAGATATCAAAGAAGTGGATTCTGAACTAAGGAAACAGAGTGGTGTCCCAGAAGAGGTAAAAATCACAAGTCCGGTGTCAATATTAACTCAGCTATTCATAATGTTTTATAGTGTTTATAATAATTGCTTTTTGCTTCAGCAAAATTGCATGTGTTGACTTAAAAGATCTGAATAGAAGGTATGAGCTAACCCAGCTGACTTGTTCCTCATCTGAAGTAGACCAAAGATTCCTCTGTAAACTGTTTCACCAGCAGACTTACGGGGCAGTAGCCTCTGGAGGTGATGGGGCCAGTAAAGTTTTACTTGGTTCCAGGTAGATCGAGGAGAATATTTCTGTCTGCAGTGCCAGTATGTCTTATTTATTGCTCACTTTTAATGGATTGATGTTATTCTTCAGTGATGCTCTGCAGAGAGTTGTCTTTTGAAACTTAACTTTGTATCATACATGTAATATCTGCTATTATTATGTATTGGAAGATTTATACTTGCTGTCCTTAGTGGTTTTGTAGAGTTCCTAAGAACAGCTTCCTTGAGGAATTTCTAAAATAAAACTAGCCAGTAGATAGTACCTATATCTAGATATAGTATCTATAGATTCTTCAATACAAGTGACTTTCAGGCATTCATTTTATAATAAGTTACTTATTTCAATTTAGAATTTGCCACCAATTCGAAACAAGGCTTTTAAGAAAAAGAAGAAAAGCAAAAATAAAGTCCCTTCAAAGATAACCACTGAGGAAAACAAGAAAAACAAGATCAAGTCTTACGATTATGAAGCATGGGGGAAGCTTGATGTGGTGAGTCAGAATACTTGCTTGTTAACTTAGTCTTGTCCCCAGTTGATTCTGCTTTTAAATAAGATTTTGTCATAGTGCTGAGAGTTCAGTTTACAAGTCAGTATCTTACTGTGCTGGGTACTGTGTGAACACAGAAAGTAGCTTTCTCCCAGAAAGGTTGTGTTTAAAATTTGGATTATTGAGAAATGCTTGTGTTTTCTATTGACTGTGCTCTCATCCAGCAGATTGAAATATGACTTTAAGGAAGAAAAAGTGGTTTAACGATAGGTCTAATAAAAGGCCACAATTCTTGTAGAATATAAGACTAAATACAGCTGGCAGTATTAGAGGATAGATCTCTCACTTCTGAAGTATGGAATACTCCTTAGTAAAGAGGACTTAAGCAGTAGAGATTTTTAAAAACACACTACTAATTCTTCTAAGGTCTTAACTTGATTTGGTTTGTATTGTTAAATTATAATGAAGATAATAGTTTATTTTTATCTGATTTCAGGATAAAATACTTGAAGAACTTGATAAAGAAGATAGTACTCATGATTCTGTATCTCCAGAATCAGACTCTGAAGAAGATGGAATTCGTATAGATGCAGAAAAGGCTCTTGCAGAGAAGGAGAAGGTTATAGCATAAATGTTTGTTATTTGCAAAGTAGCAATTTAGGCATAGGAGCATTTGTAGTTTCTTTGAAAAGATTGTCCACGGAGACTGGTGGAAGAAGTGCCTGTTTGGAACTTACATCTGTTTTCCTGCCTGTTATTCCAACATACAAAATTCTTAATGCATTTCTGTTTCTTCTCATCACTGATTGCAGCAAAGCCTGTCAGACTCTGCTTAATGTACACTTACGATGATTAATGTATTGGTGGCTTTTTGCTTTGAGAAGTTGGATTGCTGTATAGAATTGTCATACGGATCAAACTGGTGTTTACCTGAACACAAGGTCTGAATGCCCCAAACTAAATCCCCAAGAATTTAAGATTAGTCCCTTTGCGAGGCTGCTACCTCTGGGAATGATGGGCGAACCGATATGTCTTCCCTGCCTTGGTAATGGCAAGTTGGTACCAGTTCAGTTTTACCTTATTTTGCAAGTAGAATACGGCAAGACCTGTCTCATGCTTCGGTGCCGTATGAGATGGATAGGCTAAGTTGTATAGCCCCTTCTGTGGTTCTGAGAAACTTCTTTGTTTACAAACAAATCACCTAACACCATCTCTCAGTTTGTACTTTTCTTCAGTAGAGTTTCTTAGGGGTTTTTTTATTGTCTGTATGGGTGACATCTGCCTTCTTTCCCTGCTGCTGTGGAAATTCCCTGATGTATAATCTGCAGTCTACACTGAGAAATTGACGTGTCTTTGACCATTATCATCTTGGCTGCAGGGAAGCAATTGAGGGCACACGAGATAAAAGTTGTGTGCCAAAGGAGGCAGGAAGGAGAATATTTACCTTGGAAAGCAAAGATGCCAAATGTAGTTACTAAAAACTCAGAAAAAGCTTCAGTAACTCTCTATAGCAATTTAAGCAGCTATGTATGTGCTTGTTATACGTTTCTGGAAATGACCTATAGATATTGAAAATCAGTATATAATAAAACGCTCTTATTGCGTAAATCATGAGAAATATTTAATATGGGATACTTAGAATATTTTGGTTAAATGTTTCACAGTAAAGCAGTACTTTGAGAGATGTTAAACAAAAATGTTTGAGCATTCTAAAATACAAGCTTTGAATTTTTTCACTAATTCAAAAATTAGTAATGTGTCTATCAATGTACAGTACCTTGCTAATAAGACTTTCTTCTATTCACAGGGTAATAACTATTTCAAACAAGGGAACTTTGATGAAGCTATAAAATGCTACACTAGAGGGATGCATTCTGATCCATACAATCCAGTATTGCCCACAAACAGAGCATCGGCTTTCTATAGAATGAAAAAGTAAGACTTGTATTGTTAAATCCTTAATATTTTCTTCTTTGAAATGCTACCTTCAGATTCTTTTTGTTTGGTTTTAAGTCTTGATTATGTTATTTATCATGCTGTAATACAATCTGTGTAAGACCGCTGTTGCAACCTGCTTTGCAGTTCCAAAGTAAAATAGGAATTGCCAGGATAAGGAATCTGGTAGTCTCTCTCATCTTTTTTTCTCTCTGCTTTCATGCTGGAAGTTCACCATCTTCTGTGTTAGTGTAAGACTTCAAAAAAAGGAAAAAGAGAGAGAAAGTTCACTATCTAATTTGCCTTTCAGATTCAGTGAGCTCTATTTCTAGGGCTTTAATTTGTTTTTGGGGAAGAAAGGGTATAGGAGAGTTGGTTATTCTTTCTGTTGCAGTAGAGATTGTTGACCTTTGTTTTCCTTTCCTGTTTTAATGTGTTCTGAATTGAGAGATGTTTAAATACTTGTTCTGTGCCCCTTCTGAAGCACGTAAGATTTCCACTTTAGAGAGAACCTGTAAAGCTTCAGAGTAAGCTAACTTGCTGAAGTTTTGGGTTTTGTTACCTAGATGTGTCCAAACTAACTCATTCATATTTTTGAAAGGTTCTCTGTGGCAGAATCTGACTGCAATTTAGCACTTGCTTTAGACAAAAATTACACAAAGGCTTATGCCAGAAGAGGCGCCGCTCGCTTTGCTTTGAAAAATCTTCAGGGTGCTAAAGAAGGTGGGTCTTTTTAAAATTCTCTCCTTAAAATACATATAAAATGTTCATCTGTCTGCTTGATTAAAGTTTGTGTGATTTGCTTATTTGGTGTAGGAATTTAATTTTCTTTTCCTGTAAACAAAGAAATGAAATGGCACATCGCATATTCTTCTGGCAAGGTGAAATTCAAGCAGCAAGTCTAAATGATTACTGTAGATACTAGTAGTTCTAGAATAATTCAGCTTTAAATGTCTTAGAATAATGTGTTCTTTGTAATATCTCAGGCTTTTTAGGTAACTACAGAAAAGGGTTATCTCAAAAGAATGCTCTTGTTTTATACTCTGGTTACTACCCTGTAGATCCTACCTGAAACATTGTTTTCTGATGTTCTGATAGATTATGAAAAAGTTTTAGAGCTGGATGCAAACAACTTTGAAGCAAAAACTGAACTGAAGAAAATTGATCAGGTAATAAGATTAATAGGCCCTAACATAAATTAATGCACCCTGTTCAGTTTATAGCTGTATCAACTTATATTTATAACAAGAACTGAATTCAACAAAATCTCATGTGCTTTTTCTGGCATTTGAAGTTCACTGAGGTCAAAATTTGTAATTGAGTTTCTTCTGGCTGAGCTAGCATGTATGCAAACATCAGTGTCATGGTGGACTGGTAGACTAAGACTGGGTGTGTGCACCAACAACGGGGGGGAGGGGTGTTTTTTGTTTGTTTGTTTTTTAAATCTGCCCTCAGATGTTTTTTCTACCTCCTGCGTTAATGGTTTTTTCAGTCATGCTTAGTATTTTGGTACAAGGTAGCACTACATATGAGAGAACCTGTGTGTTCTCTTGGACGTAAAGCTGAACTGCTAGCCTGCTTATAGTCCCACTGATTTTTGTGGTCTGCTAAACCAGAAAGTAGGTTTAAGCCTAGCAGAGCATAATACTCTACTGCAAGTCTGATCCCTTTCATGATAGGGAGAGAATGTTGATTATGGTGACCTTAGTAAATATAAGCTCACCTGTCATTACTGTATGAATATGCATATACCTCTTCAACTGTAGTTTTGAAAGTGCTTGAAAAATTTATTTTCAGAATGAAGACCCAAAGTCTCCAGTAATTGAAGAAATAAATGATTTGTGAATTGGAATATATGTAGACAGGTTCCATGGGTCATTTTACATTGTGCTTCAGAAATTACATACTTTTTATTTACCAAGTAATATTTTCACTCGCAGTCCCTCGTAGATATACATTTCCAAGAACAGTTTAGAATGATCTCTTCAATTTACATTCAACTTACAACACAGGCACTTCTGTTAAAATGCTTGGCAGATTTTTGCATCTTAAATTTAGAATTTATCATGATCTGTGTTCTGAAAATGTGTAAATGGGGGAAATACTTCTTGAGGAAAAAAATTACATCTTTGCAGGCTCTGTCATCAAGAGAGAGTTCAGAACAGAAAGAGTTTGAAGATGTGGTCAGACGAGAATTAACAGGTGAAGAGAAGCAGCGCATTGAAGACCAGCAGCTCAAGCAGAAGGCTATTACAGAAAAAGATCTGGTAAGTCACAGGTTCTGGTGGAACAGAAGAGAACTAGTAAAGAAAAGTGTTGTGTTGTGCTATTAGCTATGCAGATGTGTAAATTAAACCTGATGCTGTCTTGAACTTCATAAATACAGTGTCCTTGATAGAACCTTGATTGTTTTCCATTTTGGGCTCTATAGGAAGGGGAGGGGGACAGTGAGTTCTGTTTGGACTCTTCTGGAGGAATAATTATACAAGGTAGCTTTTACAGCCCAAATTGTACATGATAAATTTCAAATATGTAGTAAGATAAGTAAAACTCAAACTGTATTTTACAAAGATCCTGTTTCTCCAGTATTCTATGCATCCTGACCCCTGCTTGTCCAAGTGGAGTTGTGGACTATTTCTTGTGTTTTCAAACCTCTGATTACGTGGTGGAAAGTAGTTACAAAAAGGACTTCAGGGAGTGCAGGCAACAATGACAATAAAAATGTATTTCTGGATACATGGTCTTGACTCACAGTTGGCTTATTGATTCTCCCTCTCCCCACTGTTGCAATTAAGAAATAACACTATCAACTAAAACATATTCTTCTTTCTGTTCTCTTACCTAGCTATTTTACTTCTGACTTTTTATCAATATTCAGCTTTCCTATACTGGTTGTAAGACGTAATTAGTAGGAGACGAATGAAAGCATACATTAAGTAGGTAAAAGGAACAAAAGTTTGAAGAGGCCACAGGAAAAGAAATTTCAGTCTAGTACAGTACTTCATTGGTAGCAGAGGTGACTCACTGTGGGCCTGTTCCTGGCAACATGGATCCTGTCAAGTCTGAACTGTGGCCTTCGCTTTTTTTGCCAGGGTGTATAGTAATAGCAGAGAAGATAACACATGGCTTTTTATTAGTACTGAGAAGCAAAAGATAATTTTAGTCTCTTGGAAACAAACAAAAAAATAATGTAATTTTCTTGTATGGAGCATTAGTTAGAAAATAACAGCAACATTTGGGCCCAAGTAATATTTGAGGATAACTGTTTCATGGATGTAGCAGGATAAAGATAGATTTGTGCAGCGCAGAAAGTTGTCTTGAAAGGGGAATTGTGAAGGTTCAGCTTTGTTCAGTTTGTATTTAAATTCAGGAGGTACAGGGTGGCTTATACTGTACATCAGGAGTAAAGAAAAATCCTAAGTTATGCATAGTTTAAATAAGACTTAAAAGTACGTAGCAAAAAATTTTTTACCCTTGAAGCACTAGAAAAAATTAAGATAACTTCTGTGGTCTGCCTCCAAGCTTAGCTATGAAGAAATATGCCATAAATATATGCCCTGATATGGGTATTCTTTGTGATCCATCTTCTTGATATGGTGACCCTGTCTACTAAAAAGGATAAGAAAAACTCATTGCACTAGATATTTCTCAACGCTATTTTTTTCTAACCTAAATATTACAGGGTAATGGTTATTTCAAAGAAGGAAGGTATGAAGCTGCAATAGAATGTTACACCCGTGGTATAGCAGCAGATGGCACCAATGCGCTTCTGCCAGCTAACAGAGCCATGGCCTATCTAAAGATTGAAAAGTAAGTAAGATTGCATGTGCGATACTGTTTCTTTCTTTGTTGTGAACTAGACGGAAGAATGATCTAATGGATGTTCACTCAAGTTCAGTTAATGTCACTCCTTCTAGTCCTTTCTAGAATTCAATATAGAATAAATCATATTGAAAGCAGTAAGGGAGAGAAAACAACTCAATATGTGTGATCTTACAATGCATTTCATAAGAAAAGTTCTGAGAGAATAAAATAGCATCAGTATGAAATTACAGTGTCTAAAGTTTGATTTTCATTCTTTCATGTGTGTAAAATTCTAGGTATTCACTTTTCTCAAAGGACCTGCCCAAAGCTTTGTGTCTTTTTTTGACTATAAAACTCAGTCAGCTACTAAATGTTGCACTGTAAAAAGAAGTGGATTATAACTTCTGACTTCAAAGGGAATGGATAGCAGCTTTTTCTGGAAATTGTCATCTTTTAAAATATTTTTCTTTAACTCCACTAATGGAGACATGTATGCGTAGTTAGTTTATTTTTAATTAAGCTTTATTCCAATAAACCAGTAACAGTAGGAAATGCATGCTTTCTAGCAAATGAGAGAAATTCCATATGACCATTTTTGAAGTCTGATTGGGTTTTTTGGGGGTTTTTTTGACTCCCTGATGGTATGGTAGTAGACCTTTTAAACTGGTAGCATGAGAAGCAGGGAGCTGAGCATTATGTTGGTCATCTGTTCTAACATGACGTGGCTAGGTATCTGTAGAGACAGTACATTGATCTCAAATTATGAGATCATAAAATAGGTTGCACAGGTAGTATTTCTGACACAACATTTGTAATTTAGTACTGAAGCCATAGAGGACATCATAATGCAAATAATGTTCTCAGAGAATCAGAGGAAGTGATACTTTAATTGAATGACCAAGCAAGAAAATCAATTCTGTATGATAAATCAGTATATCATGGGTCTTTATATTTCAAAGAGGACCCAAACATAAAATGCAACAGAAGCTCATTAGTATTCTTATAAACCTCTAGAACTGGTAAGAGCTGAAAAAAAATTACTGTTTCCATAAATTTAATGATAGATTGAAGGAGGAGAAGAGGAATGAATGAAAATACTTTAATAGGCATATAGTGGAATCATGATCTAATGTAACTAAACAGAACCGGGATGAGGAAATTTGATGTTAGAATGAAGCAAATGACTTTAATGCAAGGATATACTGACTTCTCATTCTGAAATAGTTAAGGACAAGTCATAGAAATTCAGATGTAGAGAAATTTATTCTCAAGCTTTCTTCTCCTTTCTTGTTTGTTTGTAATGGTATTGCTGTTTTTCAGAAGTACAAAGCTATGATGCTGACTTTTATTTTAAGGCTATTTAACGTTTAAAGTGGACTCTGCTCTGGCAGGCTTTAAGCATTTATTTTCACAGAGAAAGTGAATTTCTCTGATAAAAAGAGTCAGCAGTGTGTCATGAGATACCAAAAGATTTGGCTGAAATTTCAAGGTGCTGAGAAATCATATGTTTACTTTTATTTTATGTTTTAGCTCAATGGTCTGTATTTATGTGTATATAGGTTGTTAAAGTCTGTCTTCATATTTTAATTGTTTTGGGTAGCTCTGTCTTTTCAGTTGAAACTGCCTCTTTTGAAACTGATTATTAATTTTGTACTACTCTTTTGCTGAGATATGAAGAGGCAGAAAATGACTGTACACAAGCTCTGCTCTTAGATGCCTCCTATTCTAAAGCCTTTGCCAGAAGAGGAGCTGCTAGAGTTGCTCTTGGAAAGCTAAAAGAAGCTATGCAAGGTACTATTTTGAATTAGTCTAAGTGTGATAGGTAAGAGATGAGTATAAGGACATCCTGATTTTTTTTAATCTTCTAAGAGCAATTAAATAAATTGCTAACTAATTGAAGTTATCTGTGCAAAAGTTAGGAATGGTGGGGTTTTGTTGTGTTTCATTGAATATGTATAAAACCTTTTGTGTTGGTATCCACATGATAGGAAGACAGTTTTGTGTGAAATCACAACTATTGTTGCTTATGATAAGTAGTAAGAAATAGTTTGAAAAATGTGTTTAGAACTAGGTCATGATATAAGCATTAGGATGACTTACCTGCCTTTTAATTATTTTAGAGCTGTGAAAAGAAAACAGAAGGTTTAAAAATTTGCCAGGAGTACTTTGTAATTTGAAATGTCTACAGTTTTTGTATGTTGTTTTTCACTCAGATTTTGAAGCTGTTCTGAAGCTAGAACCTGGAAATAAACAAGCAATAAATGAACTCACTAAAATAAGGAATGTATGTATACTTGTGTTTTTGGGGTTTTTTCTTGTAGGCCTATAGTAATAGAATGTTTTCATTCTTTATTACATAATTTTTAACATATCTTATAATTATTCCTCAAACCTTTGATGTTTTGACAACTTACTATTTTTTTTAGGAATTGGCGGAGAAAGAACAGTGGACTCATCAAGAATATCCTGCAGTATTGATAAAAGAAACGGAAATAAAAAATATAGTGAAAATGATTGATAATCCATTACACCTGAAATCAACAGTAAGTTTTTGAGGGTTTTTTTGAGATGCTTTCTATAATGATAGAAAAAGTAGAGCTTAAAGTTAAAATCCACTTCTTGCTTATTTATGCAGACTAACTCCTGATAGATACATCTTGCCTGTGGAAAGCCCAAAATTTACAGACCTACTCTTTTGATATTTTTCAAGAACATAACTTTGGCATTTCCATGTATGTGTAACAGTAGCTATGGTGTAAGCATTCAACGTACAGTACCACACACAGGAAACATGGTCTATGCATATATCTATAATATGAAATGGGGAGGCAATCCCACAACCCTCTCCTGGGTCCATATCTAATGTTGCGGTTGAGAGTAAAGGGGAGGCAGTTGAGTCTCCATGTTTGATTGCAGACTTGAGAAAGCTCTGGGTAAACTTCCCTTCTTTTCATCTACTGTTTACAGTTTCTATAGCAGCTGTAGTGGTAACAAGACTCGTTGCCTACCCATGTCATGCTGGTGTCACCCAGGGCTTGAGCCCTTGTCACCCAAGAGCCTTGAGCCTGCATCTTCATCCATACAAACTGTAGAATAGCTGGGTATTGGTTTTCAAGAAGCAATATTTTTGGACTGTGAATTATCAGTGGTTCTAGTCAGGTTAATGAGTTACATATGACAAAATATGATAATACAGAGAGAAATATCAGCTTTCTTTATGTATTAGGCTTCCCCTTTTAGTACATTTAATCTTTATACATTCAGCAGTGAGTTGTGTAAATACAAAGCATGCTCACACTTTGTATGGAGTACTGTAGTGTTCTGCTTTTGATGATTTTAAAAATGTTTGTTTTCTTCCATTAAATATATAATTTATATTTATCTTTATTGAAAGTATCTTCCATGTGCACCACCACAGATGAAATTGGTTATCATGAGATTATTTAAAATTAAACACAGCTGTTTATCTGGGGCCTGTATATACACTGATGTTGAGGCTACATGCATGACATGAAGTATGTGTTCTGTTCAGAAGCCTTTGCGAAGAATAGCCATTGAAGAAATTGATGATGACACACCAAACAGTGATTTGCCCAGCACTACTTCTTTAGTCAATAACTGGAGGAATTCAATGAGTGTTGAAACAACAGAGAATCTAGATCAGGATGATCAGTTGACTACAATGGACATTCCAAAAGCAAAGCACTTGAAAATAGAAGAAATCAGTGGTACGTCACCATTACAGTAAGTATAAAAATTCTGATCCTCTTTTTAAAGGGTAAATGTAGTTGAAATGTAATCTTCATTTTCAGATTTCTACATGTGCTGAGGTATCGAACGTATTTTGGAAAATTTGAATTAAAAAGAAAATATTGAAAGAAAATGTGGTTCTTACATGCCTGCCTCTTTGATCATGTACTGGTTGAGACAAGTATGATCTATTTAGTGTCAGATGGAAAACTAGTCTTGTTCTTACATTTCGAATAGAAAGAAATTCATAATATTTTCCTGTATGCCATACTCTCTTGTGCACTCCATCTTCCCTAGCTGTGATTTTTATTTGTAATGTTTTAGAGTAGATTCTGAGCGGAGTTCGAACGTTCTTTGCACACCAGTTGTGCAAGAGAAAAGGAGCAGATGAGAGTGTCAGCACTCTTTCCTCTGCTGAGCAGGCAGCTGATAACTTCAGGCTTGCTCAAAGTTCCCAAGTTCCACTGTGTTAGCTAGGCAAACTCAAGTCTGGCTGGCTGAAACTACGCTGAAGTATAGAAGCCACTATCCTAACTTTATCCCTGCTAAGTGTTGGAATTCTACTTGTTTGCTTAGGAAAGCTCTGTATGCATCGGCATCATCTCATTGTGTTAATAGTAAATACTTTCTATGGAATTCTGACTGAAGAATTTCTACAAGAAACACCATCCCGCACCTACCTTTTCCAGCTCAGTCAGATGGATTTACTGTGAAGTGTTGAAGAAAAAAGTATATTTTTTAGCCATTTTATAACTTCTGAAAAATAAACGGACTTAACTGACAAATTATAGGACAAAAAATAGCTCCACTGTAATCAGTGTTGGTTTGTTCATTTGACATGGTTATTGTTTTGCATCGTGAAATTGCGGAAATGTAATATTTTTTTGCAGCTGTGTACGGTAGAAATCTGTACCATAAAATTCAGTTATTTCCGGAAACAAAGTAGAGAAAAGCTGACTATATTTGTAAGTATTTGCAGATGTGGGGTTTTTGTTTGGGTTGTTTTTTGGTTGTGGTTTTTTTTTTTTTTTTAGAAAAGGTGAATCAAGTATAAAGCTTCCATAATTCCATTTTTTAGATATCCACTTGAACTAAAATACATTATTTTTCAGAATTTTGATAGTATTTTAGATTTTTAAGGAATTAAAAGGTCGCCAGTTAGGTCTCAGTGTAGGATTTCCTTAAATGTTTCCTTGATTATGTGTTTCAAAATCTTTTTGCAGGCTTTCTGCTAGTGTGAAAGGAGTTTCATCAACGTTGCATCCACCTTTCCCTGTGAACAAACAGAGAGAAAAAGAAATCAAAAGGTCATTTAGATCTGCTTCTCCAGTCCCCGCCATTCCTGCAAATGCTTTCCAGCTTGAGTCTGACTTCAGGAAGTTGAAAGACTGCCCAGAAAATATGTACTTGTACCTGAAGGTATGAAACAGTATTGATTGACAGTGCTTGGACAGTTTCTTCAACTGACATTGAAGAAACAGCACAAACTTAGGTGGAAAAGGTAGCTATGTTTAGAGTGTCTTAACCGTGTACAGTAGTCCCTTTCTTTAATTGCCTTCACATAATACTAAGTAGTTTGATCCACATTTGAGTGTTTCTCCTCTTGTGCCTGACTTTTCACTTACTTCACTCTGAGTGCAGTCTCTGCATAATCTGTCTCTTCTTTCAAACATAGGCCCTGATTCTGTGAACACTTAAATACATTAGTAACCATGTTAAATTCTAATTTTTCAAATGAATGCTTCTAGAGTAATTAGACATAGCAGCATTCTTATCTCTTTAAACTGAAGAAATGCTTGAAACACATCAGTCTACTTAATGTGTACTTCTGCTTATTTATATTTCGCAAAAAAATTGCTTAGAATCCTTTTTAAAAAGTTAGCAATCATCACAAAGAAACAAACACAAAAACCCCAAATTCATGTTCAACGTCAAATAGTGCAAGTGATTTGTTTTTCTTTTTTTTTGCTTTCATGCACTTCAGCAGTCCAAGACATCCTAAAAACTCATTTCTAATTCTTATGACTCAACTGTATTTTTTTGCCTAAAAATAACACTTTCTTTTAATTTTTCCAAAGCAAATAGAGCCTTCGCTTTATCCAAAACTGTTCCAGAAATCCTTAGATCCAGACTTGTTTAACCAGATACTGAAAATTCTACATGATTTCTACATCGAGTAAGTTTAACTCCTCCTTTGTTTTACATCGCTTATCGCTATTACGTATTTTGGTTTTGGGGTTTTTTTTCTCCCTAGCCCCACCCTTAGGCTTACAAAATTATTTCCAGTATGCAGCATTACATGAGCATGATGCAATAATTTGATTCAATTGTTCCTTCTTAAGAAATTAAACATATCTTGAAAAATCAGATAGAAATGAGGTAAAGAAATAAATAGCCTTTACTGTATGTTGTTGAATTCAGCTCTGCTAAACAGCATTGGAAACTGAATATTAGACTGTATGAAATAATTTTTGTTCATATTACTGTGTATATTCTGTTATCACATATAATTGCACAATACTAGCTTTCTATATTAACTTTCTAAAGCTGAGAAATACAGAGGGTTTCATTTTTGTGCAATGCTTATGTGATGCGTTCTGACTTTTAATTACATGTCAGAGGCGGTGTGCCGCTTCTCTGAATTAGTCTGCCTGAGAGCACACACTCAGAATGTCTTTAGGGTGGTGTTTTATGGAGTAAATGAATGTTATCCTTTCCCTTGGTTTCTTTAAAAGTAAATATCCATCAGGTGGGTGAAACATGACATCTTAAGAGATACAGTCCTACATTTGGTGGTATAGCATATAAAGGCTAGGAAGTTGAAATTGTTACCAGTAAGGTAAGAGACATTTCTTCTGGAGGGAGACAGGACAAGTTACGAAAGAAAAACACTATTTGTCGTTAGTATTTGTAACAAAGACAGCGCCTGTTTTACTGTTGACCAGAAGAATGTAAAATGAACACAATGTAGGAATTTTCTGCATGGATAAAAATGATGGCAACTGTAATGTGGTGCTTTTTGCTGAGTTTCCTATGACCACAGGTGCTGCTTCCCCTCACATACCCTGATACATATAAAAATGGTGAGGTTTTGGCAAGCCGGCTGAACATGAGCCGGCAGTGTGCGGTGAGGTTTTGGCAAGGTGTAAGCATTAAATCATACAATAGCTATTCTGTACGTGAACAGCAGTCAGTTTGCATCAGTCTAGGTTGTTATATTTATTCACTCTTGCTCTGTATCAGAAGGATACTTGTATAAAGATTTCTGGATATTGACTTCGTGCTTTGTAGGTGGAAGAATGAACAAGAAAGATGAGAAAGGCAGGGAATATGAGAGAAACAGAGAAGGGAGGTTTCCATTGGTCCTTTAATTTCTTGGTCCTGAAGTCTTTAATATTGCTTGCAGCTGCTGAATCTTTCTAATCAACACTAGTTATTTTTATATTTCTAATAATCTTCTTCCGGAAAGAGGAGCCATTGCTCATCCTTGAAATCCTCCAGAGGCTATCTGAATTAAAAAGATTTGATATGGCAGTAATGTTTATGTCAGGCCCAGAGAAAAAAAGTAAGTAATTCACTTTATTTGTCCTACTGTAGACTCTAGCAAAAAATACATAAAATTTAGTGCTATTCTTGTTGTTTATTCCGCGTAATAATCAGTTAAGGTTAGTTAGTTGTCTAGCTTTTTGATTGTTTTAGAAGTTAATATGAATGTCATGTAACTTTTCTTAGTCTTTTGATTCCTTATTAGTTGTTAAGATGTGAAAACTACAGCTAAATCCTTTTGTTTTTATCAGTAATACCACTGCATTTTAGTCTGATAAAGTAAGCTTCACTAGCATTTCAGTTTATAGCTGGTAGTGTTACAAATTTATGAATTTGTATGAAATCTTATATCTGACATGCAAGGTATCCAAATCACACATTTTCCACAATTTACGACCATTTCTTTGCGATCCTGACTTTACTGTTGGCAAAAAGAATGCAAACGTCTCTAAACCACTCAGCCTGTTCGTCTCTGTCCTGTTCTTGAGGCATCACTTAGATTAGTTTGCAATTCAGATTGACGTTGGCTTGAGTTCATGGTTTATAAAAGTGTTTTTTGTCTCAGACACTTTCTTTATTTAGCACACCAGACAGACTATGTAACAGTGAGACACTTAAAGCAAAACATTTTTCTGTGACCAAATAATGTCAAATTTACTATCTACAGCTGAGTTTCACTAATAACCATTATACTTTCAAAATTTTGATATGTGAATCTCCTTAAAATTGCTTGTTTGACTTACTGAAGTGCAGGTAAATACCACTTAAAAATCACATTCACGCCTTTCAACCTGATGTAAGCTTTGTCTGCCATCTGGCATTAACTTTTATCTTCTGCATTTAATGGCATAGTGCCAGGATAGTAAACAAAATAAAAGCTGTCTGTTTATGCTGTCAGGATTATATACCTGTTTAAGGAAATGTTGTTAGGCAGCTCTTAGGCATCAAAACAAAGTGAGAGCTTCCCTTTGCTACTTTTTTCATCCTCTCAGTAGTTCTAAAAATTTACTTGTATTTAGGCTATGTAATCCAACCCTTACTCTCACTGAGGAAGGAGCTGTACTGATTTACCTTAAGAGTGTGAATCATAAAAATAGTTTATGATGGGATTTTCTTTTACAGTTACACAGGTATTGTTCAATCATGTGAACCACATGGGATTGAAAGATGCTTCTGTTGAAGAATTGGAGAAGAAATACGGCATTTTCTCTTAGTGAGATGACTGACATGTAAATTTCTGTTTCCGCACTACTTTCATGTGGAAATCAGCTGAAGAAGCCTATAAAGACTGGAATTTTGTTGCTTTTGTATAAGTGATGAAACTCTTAAACTTGGTTTAGCCAAATGGCAAGTGCCTGAAGAGATAATTATCTAGTTCTGCAGGTACATTTGCTTTCTAGTACCTGAAACAATACAGATCTACATTGTCTTCAGTGGAATCTGTTTGCCTAAAAAACAATTGGGCAGATTGGCATTCAGGATTTGGACTGTAGATAGAGATCTTTATAAAAAGGAAAAAAAAGTATTTATAAACATGTCTTTGGTAAGAATCAAATGATGTATATTACAAATGTGCATGGTTTTTATTTTAGAAAATAAACTGAATGTTGAATTGAAGATACTAAATTTTTAAGGAATTTTTTTTTATTAAGGTGCCTACATCATTCTTCTCTAAGGATACAGCACATCAGAACATGTAATGTGCAAAGCGAACCTGAGGTATGATGGCCAAAAAATTCCAGAATTCTTTTATTTGAGTTTACCCAAAAGCTGAGTTTTAGCATTGACAGCTGATATATTCCTGTGAACCTGAACTGTAATTGCAGAATAGAAGGAAGCCAAATACTGTAGGATTAAACTAAAAGTGTAGGGAAAGACACTTTTTGTCTTCTTTGGAGAGTACTTTTAAAATAATCTGAGGAAATTTATCTTTTGCGTCAGTTGTTCCTAACCAGGTAAAGCCCTTAAGAAGCCTCAGGAAGCTAAGCAGAATACCCTTCCAGTATGAAGAAGACAAAGGCATGAAATCACCTGAATAATCTGAAAATTTATCTTTTGCGTCAGTTGTTCCTAACCAGGTAAAGCCCTTAAGAAGCCTCAGGAAAAGCAGAATACCCTTCCAGTATGAAGAAGAAGAAGGCATGAAATCACCTGAAATTCTTAGATGAGATAAGAAACAGCGTTAGGCATAATAAACTATTCATACTCTTCATATGACCAGAAGAAGGAAATAACAGCACTTGTCAAGTATACTGTAAGATTTAACTGTAGTATCCGAGTAGTGGCGTATAATCTTTTGCGTCAGTTGTTCCTAACCAGGTAAAGCCCTTAAGAAGCCTCAGGAAGCTAAGCAGAATACCCTTCCAGTATGAAGAAGACAAAGGCATGAAATCACCTGAAATTCTTAGATGAGATAAGAAACAGCGTTAGGCATAATAAACTATTCATACTCTTCATATGACCAGAAGAAGGAAATAACAGCACTTGTCAAGTATACTGTAAGATTTAACTGTAGTATCCGAGTAGTGGCGTATAAAATTTGCCTGTGTCTCTAGGCTTGACCGCTATATCTTTCATCCTGCTGATACTGATATTCTGTCAGTTTGCTTTCATCCTGATTCAGCCCTTGTGCTTTACTGATGCTTCTCTGACTATGGAAGCCTTCTGACATTAATGTTTTTGTTTTGGTAGTTGTGCTCTTTTTCAGAGGAATGATTAAACAGCTATAGTGTTCAGAAAGACTTCAAACTTCCAAGATGGATTAATAGGAAAAGGTATGAGTGTTATCTTCTATGTAGTCAATATTAGAAAACTAATTTTAAAACATTTGCAGCTGTGTAATGTCCTAGTTCAGATATAATCCGGTTAAAAGAAAAAAGTAACTGAGCTACTTCCTTGGGCTGGGTAGCAACTGACATGAATGGAGCACTAGATCCCTGAGGTAGCTTCCAATTAGCCCTGGAACTGAGCGCTAGGAGAAGAGCCAGTGTTACTGGGGAAATAGAAAAGCCTTTAACACTGCTTGCAGCTTACCTAAGATATGAACTGTTATTACTAGGTGTGTCCCAAGTTACGTGATAACTTTTCTTCCCCTTGTTGTAAAGCACTTCTGATAACCTATCAGGGATACTGCTGTAACTAAGAGAAGCTGGGGTGGGGCGGGGGGAGTAGTTACTGAAGTAATTTTATACACCTTTGTAGATGCAGCGTAACTTCTTATGCACTGTTATAAGTTGTTCAGTGTAGAGCAGAGGTGTATGCCTGACTAGGTTATACTGATAGAGCATTTGGTACGTTCTCAGAAGCTGCTTTTTGAAGGCTGTTGGATGAAAACAGGTGATTGTAATATGGATCCTTGACAGTAGTAAAAGCAAGACAATAGCACAAAGATTTGAAAACTGTAGGCCAGGAGTCACGTAGAACTCCACTTCGAGTCTGCTATGCTTTTAATGAGAATAAGATGTATATTTGGTTTCTGGTCCCACTGCTGCTTTTATGGAGACTTCTGTTCAGGATTTGTACGTGGTCAGGAGGGCTGGTTGAAGGGAAGCTGTTCAAGCATGTGAATTTGGTGCGGTGGATGGGTGCACCTAATGCATGTTGCTACTGAACTTAGGCTGTCAAGATACATCTTGCAAGTGGTACGCTACTGTAGCCTTTTGCTTGTATTTCTAAATGCGACATCTGATGGTGACTTGCTAAGTCGCTGAGGTTACTTTTCAGTGCTTAGAAAACTGCAAGATGGAGAGCAGAGCACAGGCATTCAGGGAACTGCTAGCTTCACTTGCTCCAGGAGATGGCGGTGGTTTTCCCCTCTAAATTGTTAAAGATTGCCGAATCTCTGAATTGAAGAGTTTAATGAAACATGGAGAAGATTCATAGATCTGAAGTAAGTCAAGAATTCTTTTTGGGCAGAAAAGGGGGATTTTTTTTTTCTTTTTTTCAAATCCAACACCCTCTCAATGGTTCTATCCCTATTGTGTCAGGGAAAAAAAGTCTAAGGTAAATATTGTGAGGCAATTAAACAGTGTGGAATACTTTATAGCCCTTAGCTATGTTATGGCATTCAAGGTGTCAAAAATCTGAGGTCATGTTTGCTGCAGTGACTGATTCAGACTTCAGTTTTTAATGATTCCTTTACTTAATCAGTATTAAATGTTTTATTTTTCTAGACAACTTTTGAACTTGTCAAGATCATTTTTTAAATTGAATATTGTCCTCCAGTAGATCTGGGAGACACTCAAACTCCATATTATCTATTGATTTCATCTAGGTTGTTAGAATATCGATGGAACTGATCCTAGCACATACTTCTGCAGAACATCCTTACAGCTTTGTGTTTTGACAGTAGACTGTGATTTTATTTTGTTCCTTTCTGATAGCTCTAGCTAGGTCTGCATTCATACAGTAATAGTTTCATCTGAGCTGTGTTTGTCTTGCTTATAAGAATGCCCTGTGATGGTCAGATGTCAGGATAAAGATACTTCATCTACTGCTTTTTTATTACACTACGGTGGAAGAAAGGATTTTAACATAACTTGTTCTTGGCCGACTTGTGTTAGTTACTGTGGAAAGCATAAATGAGTATAGTTTGAGTACATGTTCCAAAATATTTTTTAAAATTAAAAATTAATGGTCTTCGCTCTGGTCAAGAAGCTTTTACTGCTTCTCTTCTTCCCTGTCTTTCTGTTTAAAAATAGGCATTTCAGCTTGCCAATTCTCAAATATAACTACTACTACTGTTTTTGAGGCTACTTTTTTAACATATCATATTAATATAAGATTAACGTACCAATTTTTAACATATCTTATAGAGAAGTCTTTGGGGCCCAGAGAACCTGTGAACATTGAACTTCAGGAAACTTATGTTCTAACGCATTCTTTTCTTTTGCTAGGCAGAGATCTTTCTTTGTCGATGATGTGAATACAGTTGCTTGTAGTTGCCATTACTAGGGAATACTGAAGTGAAAACAGCTATCGAACAGTTAATTTCTAATGTCATCAGCTGTCAGTTGTTTTTTTTCCATCTTGCGTAACTAAGGTCCCTTTTTTTTCTTTTAATGCAGGTGCACTTACAGAGCAATCTCTTCTTATTCAGGTCAACTGCCACTTATTTTGTTTTCCTCTTTTGGTTCTGATAATGGTCCTTGTGTTCTCTTGTTGCTCCTACTTAATAATTCTTAAATAATCTGTCCTTGTTTCCATTACTTATGTGCTTTTTTCTTCTGAGATTGTTGAAGAACTCTTTGTTGGTCAGGTTGGTCCCTTTTTACACTTGCTATCCTTTCTTTCCATTGGCATAATTTAAGCTTATTATCTTGATGTCATTTATTTGGGAACTGCCAGGTCTCCTGTACCCTTTTCCGCCCTTAGATTTTCCTCCCATGAAACCTTACTAAGCAGTGTTAGAACAGAGGAAGAAGTAGAGAGAAGACTAAGTGCATGAAGCTTTCAAAGTTGTGTTTAGGTGCTGTGATGTCTAGACAGCTTGAGATTGCTCTACTGTCAGTATTAGAAACTATAAGAATTTGGGGCATTAAATATACATCCTCTTTTCTCTCCTCCAGCTATGTCCCATCTGATGGCAACTGTAAGCCAAAGAGGCTGTGCCACTCTACTGCCAGTAGGTTTTTTGTTTGTTTTTTTTTTTCTTTCAGTAAATTAGTGCTTTTCTAGGAATAGCAAGAAGGGCCTTAATAAAAGCATAGGGCTGCATATTTGTTGACTCTCACTTCTCCCCAGGTAAGATTCACTCTGTAGCTTTTCTTTTGTAGCAGCTGTCAATCACACTATATTTTTCTTTCTCGGATCTTACAGAGCCAATGGTGTCCTGAACTGCGTTGTATCACTGCTGCCTTTGCATGATGCTTTAGTAACTTCCTTAAGGTGTATTTCTAAGGGTTGTGTTAGTCAGAGGACAAAATTACCCTGCAAAATCCTTTGTTATTGATTATCCTTGAGAGAGCAGGAAACTAGCCTCTCAGGAACACATCCTAAGTTTGAATCTAGTTTTCATTTAATATTGGCAGGTACCAGTCTGCCAAATGACCTGGAATTGCATTAGTGATTGATCTGACCTTATCTGCTTTGCTGGTTAGGCTTAGGGAAAATACAACTTTTGGAATAAAAGGTGAAATTGTATTTTTCACTGTTGTCACATCTCAAGTATGCAGTTCAGCCTGATTGCAGCAGTGAAGTTGTGTGGGTTTTATGCATCTGACTGTTCCTTTGTACTACTTCACATGAACTGTTTGTATCAGATCTCTCTCGACATCTGTCACCATGTGCCAATTCCCTCTCTCTGAATTTCAGTCTTCCTTTTCACTGTGCCCTTTCTGTTTTCCATCAGGTTCAAAACATTGTATTCTCCTCTGCCTTCCCTCTCCTGTCATTAGCTGCAAGCAGCTCAGCCTCTAAAAGTGTCATTTAAAGGCTCTTTTTAGTTTTCTAAAAATTTCTGCTCCAGGCTCTTTGTTTCTGAAAGCTCCTTCCAACAGCTCTGTTTCTTCAGGCTCTATTTTGTAGGAATATTCCACTCTAATGTCTGGCTTTATAAACTGAAGCAAGTACAACATAGAAACTAAGGGAATTCCTTTTTTTTTCTTTTTTTTTCCCTCCTTGCTTCCTATTCAAGTGGTTGCTGAGTTCAGTTGTGGTTGGTTACACTGGAATCTTTTGCTTTCTTAATAGTAGCAGAAAGTAGTGTTTGCTTTCCAGACTTCATCTTCAAACTTCAGACCTTCCAGTCTCTCTTCCGACAGTTGTTGCATTAATAAAGTTTAAGGTGACAGGGTAAAAAATAAATTTGATTCCTTGTTCCTTCATACCAAATAAGTCTACCTGGGTTTTAAAGCAAGAAATGTACCATTAGGCACTAATACCAATTACGTTAACCAACAATGGAGTATACAAAAGTCTTCCTTGTCCTGATTCCTGATGAGATAGGACAGATTAATGTTCTGTATAAACTATTAATTTAAAGTCCTGTTTCGTGGCTACATACTTGGACAGGTCTGCCACAATGAGCTGAGCAGCAGATCGGAGTCTGTGAGGAAATGCCCAAAAAACCCCAAATAAACCAAAACCAAACAAAAAAATCCAGATTTTTTGCTTTTATATGTATTACAGGAATGACTACTTGTACTTCAGGTTGTAAGGGCATATGCTCAGGTGCAGCTTCCTCCCTAAAGAATCAGCAGTCTGTATGAATATCACCAAAAAGCAGAGAAGGATTAAATGGTTGATTTGCCCAGCTGTGATTATGATGGGAGAATAGTATCTGACTCCTCAAGTTGAAATCTGGTGTCTTTCTGGCTACACCAGGCTGAGTAATCAGTTTGACAAGTGGTGCTTGGACTTGGTTTGTAATGAGTTACTATCACCTTTGGAAAAATCAGGAACACTTTGCTGACTTCAGAAAAGTGTACTCCAGAGTCTTTGTTGGGAAGTGGAAATGCTGCCAACTTCTTCTAAAATAGCCTGAAGTTCAGATTGTTGAAATAAGAGGTAATGAGCTACTGCTGTACGCTGAAGCCTCTGTGTAACACCACGTAGCACATGAGCCTTGAGGATTCCAATTCTGTCCTTGGTGTTATGATTTCTTTGCATTTTGTGATTGGATTCTGGTGGTTGTGAAAATTAGCAAGGCTATTACAGGGCTACATCTTATTAAATGCAGTATTTAAGTGAAAATGTGTGTGTTTCCAACAGATGGGTAAAAACATTTTGGGGAATATTTTCCGTACAATCTGTAACAAAGAAAGGACATGAAATAAATATTTAAGAATTTGCCAGATCTCTGAGATTTTCTTCTGCTTCATGTTTCATTCTTCTGTCGACAAGCTTGTCTGATTGATTGGTAAAGCTGGCATCTCTCACCCAAAAATCCGAAAGCATTAATTGAGCTTAAGGAGAACATCATCTTTGTTTAAATTTTTATCATCCCTAGACTTTAAAGCAAGAGAAAGAAGTAGATTCACTCCTTGCACTGGTTTGCAACTGTCGAGCTTTGGCTTGATCTTCTGACCTTGAGAGAGCCCTTGTCCTGCGTCCCACCCCCAGTTGCACTTGAAATACTCCTGCGAGTGACTCGATGCTGCCTGAGAATGGGTACAGACCACAGCAAGTGGGGTCTTATATGGCTGGAGACTTTTGGAGGAGCTGAGGAGCAACCTCTACTTCATTTCTGTCTTTAATTTCAAAGATGACGTCTGGATAAAACAAATGCTTTGCAGCTTGATTAACTGTTTGCCTGCTGTGTTCAAACTGTAGCTGTATTGTGCAGTTTGAAATACAGAGCCCTAGCAGTTCCTGGGGCTCTCCTTTCTGCTTGTCTTCCTGGCTTTCACAGAGCCCCCGGTGAAGCAGATGCCCTGTGGGTCTTGTGCAGGGACTCGTACCAGCAGCTTGGGGTCACTGGTTTATGGTGGCACAGAGTAAGTCCTTCCTCCAGGGGTTGCAATCTGAATAGACAACGTGTAGCATAGTCTCCCCACTGTTAGAGATGTGGGACTGAATGCCTGGAGAGGCTGAGGAGAGACTTCCCTTTTTGCAGTAAAACCCTTTCTGTAGGTGGTCTGAGCTGACTCGATGATTTTCCCTGAAGGGGAGTGGGAAGGACTCGGCTACCCAGCTGAGAGGGGCGAGAGATGGTACATCTCTCACGACTGTGATGGAGACAGGGCTATCGGCTGACACATCATGTCATCTGGATGCAGAAGAGGATGTGTTTTAGCAGTGTGAGTCCCAGCTCGTTCCCAGTGTAACACAGGAACTCAGTGACTTGGGGGTGAAGAATAGGAGACACAAATTTCTGTTTCACAGGGCTCAAAATCAGCATATTTTTTAAGACTTTCAATATTTCAATCTCAATTTCAATATTCAGTGTTTTCAACATTTCTCTCTACTTCAGTAAAATCTAAACATTAATGAATATATCTAACGAGATTTGGAGAAGCTAGGAACTGAACAAACCTCACCAGCCCTTTTTGAGCCCTAGGTCTGTTTCAGTAACTTCAGCTAGCTTTCCTCTCTCAATTATATTTTGTCCTTGTCTTTGTCCTTTCATGCTTTTGCCTGTCATATACCAGGTTTATGTGAAGCCAGCTGTACTAAGGACAGATTCCTGCGGTCAATGTTCCCATTATCAGATTTTGTCAGAACAGCTCTGCTGGTTCAGAAGCAAAGAAGAAATTTGGCTTGATCAGGATACCCGCATGCTGCATATAAGACACCCAGAGAGTCTTTGGCTCTATTCCTACCTGGTTTGTGCTGATAGAAACAGGACGCCACTGTAGCACACAGCCAGAGCTCTGGTCTCAAGTCATTTCATAAGGCTTCTTTCTCCAATGACAGTAATGCCAATGCAAAATAACATTATAGGGATCAGCTGCTGTATTCAGAGACTGACTAGGGGTCTTGTTTGTTCCTGTTCAGCTACTGGGGGTAACAATATAGGGCTCTTCATCCTAAGACTCAAACCTTAGAGCTTGATGAAGGAAGTTTGTTTATCGTTCCTGGTTGCCTAATGCATAAACCAGAGCTTGTTCTAATCTTCGTTCCCTTCTTCCCCTGCTGATTCCCTCTAGGCTGATACTTGCCATCCTTCAGCCTGCCTGTGCTCTGTGTCATTGCCAGTTCCTGGCTGCATATAGCCCATGCGTTTGTTAGAGCAAGAGGGACATTCTGAATGGGTCAAATTAAATCTCAACAGTAGACCAAAGCAGCATTTTCAGGCATCTCAATGTATTTGACCTCCCTGTGTACAGGACTTCCCCAGGTACAGTACTGCACACTGACAAATTTCAGAACTTAACAAGATGGCTATTTCCAAACTGATGAGCAGCTGTTGGGAGGTTGCCAAAGACACAACTCACAACTAGATGCTCATATGCCTCTGAATCTCGGGAAGAAACAGCTGCATAATACAGCCTATGGGAGCAGTGCTAGGTCCAGCTTTATTGCAGACTGCAGGGACACTTGGACTAATCGGTGCTTGGGAAAGGACGGGAAACCAGGCGATGAAGTGAGTGACAAGAGCAAGCCCCTCTATCATTATCTTCCATGATTATAATGAATCGCCCCGTGTTGAGAATTGCCCCACTTCTGTGCATAGCCCCGTGCCTCAGGCAAGTTCTTTCCTAGAAATTAGTTGTCATCCTGTAAGTTCAAGGTTTGGAATTTTTTTTTTGTTTTCAACTTTCTTGGTAAGATATGGCTGTGCTGTTTTATCCTTCTGCTTAGACTTTTGCTCCTCTAGCCGTTAGGTTCGTGAAGGAGCAAAGCAGGTTTGATTAGTTTGAAAGTCATGTGGAAAATTGAAAAGACGCCATCACAGAAGGTCTCTCTTTCAACAGAAATTGGCTGTGTCACCCTGCTAACTATACAACCTTTCTCAAAGAGCTAATTTGCAAGTACTGATTGTTTGTTATTTTTTTTATTATTGAAAGCATTCTGGGTTTGCCACCCCAGTGTCTCAGGCCAAAAATTATTAGAGGAGCTTCCATATGTCATCTATGACTTGAGACATTTAGAGAGAACTTGATTTCCCTCAGGAAATATTTTTCAGATAATTCTGTCTGAAGATAGACTGGTATATGACTCCTTTGTGGTTTTTTTCTAGATTCTTACAAATACTCTCTTCCCTGGAGAAGAGAATATTAATATTTCCAATAAATACTCTCTTTCTCATAATTGCTCTCTTCTTTTTTAGCCTGTCCCTTCTTTCACCTCCTGTATGCTGCCTTTCTGCGCTGGAGCTCTGCTGTGAGTTTCCTGCTTAGCCAAGCCATCTCCTGTTACACCCACCTGTCTTCCAGAATATCAAGGTGGGCCCCACCTGTGCTTGGAAGGTGCTGTCCTTAAAGGCTTGCTAGCTCTCCTGAGATCCTTTCAGAGCTGCCTCATGGGCTCCCACCTACCAATTCCCTGAACAAGCAGCAGTCTGCTCACCTGGAGTCCAGGGTCTGTGCTGTGCTGCACTCCTTTCTCACTCCTCACAGGATCTTCGATCCTGCTATTGTGTGGTCACTACAGCCGTGGCTGGCACCGACTATCACATTCCAAGCTGGCTTTTCCTTGTCAGTGAATAGCAGATGCTGGAGATCTTGTCCTGCTTGGCCCACCCAGTACCTGTATCAAGAAGTTCTCCCTGACATCTTCAGAAACCTTCTTCAACACTTGTGTCCTGCTGTGTTGCCCTTCCAGCAGATGAAAGGAGGTTAAAGTGCCCCAAAGAACAAGGGTCTGTGGTACAGAGGCTTGAGCTGTTTAAAGAAGACTTCGTGTTTGCCCTCACCCTGATCAGGTGAGGTGGCACCCTCCCACTGTGATGCCACCCTCACCGGTCTCTCCTCTGATAGCGACCCATGAGCCCGCACGCAGCCCATCACCTGTCCCATGGAAATGCTCTGCATCTCTGAGCTGCTCCTTCGCACAGAGGGCATCTCCCCTCCTCTTCCTCACTGCCTGTGTTACCTGCAGAGCTGGTACCCACCTGTGCAGGCGGTCCCAGCATCTCTCCAGTCCTGCAGCAATGCCACAGCCCTGTGACCCCACTGGAGTGCTCATCCCTCCGGATTGTTTCCCAGGCTGTGCAGACGTGTGCACTTGCATGCCAGATGGGGAATGCCTCCTTCCGCCCTTTTCCTGATGTCTCTTGTTCTCATCACCCTGCACACTTATCTTAAGCATGTCAAATTTGACAGCAGGCTTGGTTTTAAAAAAATATAAAATTAGATTCCTTTTACAGACCTCAAGTGCTTGTTTAGCTGCCAGCCCAAATTTAAGTTTTTCTCCAGGTTAAGTTCCTCGCCTAGGTCTATAGCTGCTGGCACTCAGAAAGATAAACATGATCAAAACTTTCCCAAAGTGAGGACTGGGGGGGGGCATCAAGCTGATGTGAAGCTTCTGTCATGTCACCGTACCTGTACCCCTCACTCGTGTGCTGTCACTGCTGCCTAAAAAACAAATTGTCAGTGCATGAAATTGCAGTGCAATGGTGGAGCTGGAGTCTGCCGTACACAGGAGGTGGAGTATCTGAGTCTGTTTCAGAGATAATTAGCAAGACTGTTGCCTGACTAAAAATGCAATTCTCTTCATTGGCAGGAGAAGGTAAAAATGTTTTCTCCTGATGGGAAAGACAGCTCTAGGTCTGCGGGAGAATTGGGGCAGAGGGAGATGTGCTGAACCTCTCAGTGGGGTGGGAGATTCTTGTAGGACCAGATGAAAACTGAGAATTAGGAGGGCAAAATCTCAGAGCAACTTTTGGGCTCATTCTTATAGCTAAGAATGCTACTCATTGAAGATCGTATTTGATGAAATTCGCATGAAATATCCTTTTCCCTTCCTAATTACAGAGCTGGCATAATGATTCAAGAATATCCACAGACTGTTTATGAAATGAATTTTGTGAAGGGGAAGCTATGAACCGCATTTGACTCTCTTAATTTATTTGACAAGCTTTGAGTCTGACCCAGCTTGGGGGCAAAGAAATGCTGTCAGGGAAAGAGAGGACAAGGCCTTTATCTTCACTGAATTATTTCTGCCAGCAAAGAAAACCTTTGGCTCTTCAATTATTTCAGTCCCAGCCTGATGTTTGTTTCCTGTCACCCAGTCCTGGATCATCTGACTTGTCATACAGGATCATGGTTGTTTTTTCCTCGTCAATCTAATGCTAAAAATGAGAAGCTCAATTCTCCTCCTTACCTGACAGCCTAGCAACGAGGCATGTTTTGACAAGAAATTTTGGAACTGCACAGAATTGCCATAAAATCCAATATCGGGGAAAAATGATCATGCCTGGTAGCTAGGGCACAAACTGGAAATAGGTCGTCCAGGCTAACGTGTCTCGGGACATCG